ATAAAATGCTATCATGAAATTTCTATAATTTTCATTCTAATTCAAAAAAAGAGTCTATTTTATTGTGTTATTGTATTTTAATAACATGGACTATTTTTGCGGGCTAAAGGATTATGTATGGTTATTAAATACATAGAAAAGATGATAATCGATTGTAATACCCGTGCGAATGCACGGGTCAAGAATTTAGTTGAAATTTGTAACATTAAGTGTAAACCATTGTGCATACTCTAATAAAGTAAAATTTTCTTTGGATTGTTGCTCACGTCATTATTTAGAACTAGATGCTTGCCCTGGGCGAATGTCCGGAGTGTCACTTTAAGCTAATTAAATGAAAAAAATAATCATATGACAAAATTGATACATTTATATACTGATAAATAATAAAGGCCTAAACAAATATTATTCATTTAGGGAAGCAAAAAGATTTGAACTTTGATTTTAAAACAATATGGTTACTACCCGTAATACATTTGACACAATATAGTTACACAACATAGTTACTACTCGTAGTGCGCATTTGTCCTCTTTCATCCTAACACAATATGGTTACTACTTGTAGTACACATTTTTCCTCTTTTATCCAAATTCTTCTTTCTCATTCACCACTGCTTTTTTCCTCCCCCAATTCAGTTTCTAAATTTGACGAATTCCAGTGACGAATATCACGATGAGAAGATCCGGCAAATTCAAATTAGATAAAGTCGACAGCACCAACTGAAAAACTCAATGGCAAACACATGATTTTTGTTTGTTCCATAAAGACTTTGAAATCATCCATAAAATTGCAAACATATCAAATTGATTTGAGTAGACCAAAAATAGTCAGATGTTGATCATACAAACAATTGGTCAGGACACTCTGGAATGGGAGGTGTTCATTGCTTCCCAAGCACATGGTTAGAAGCCATCTTACAAAATTAAAGTACAAATACTTGAAATGGTTCATTATCGAGAAAACTGATTTCAGAAATGCTATACATACCATTTCAGTTGGATAGACAGTCTTGCCGCACTCAAAGAAATTTGTCTCCGACTAACAAACTTGAAACCTTATTTGCCAGTGATCACTGTATGATTAAACAGGAGAAGAATAAATCACATCAATCAACTGAAATCGAAATTCATCTGGTTTCTCTCATTGATTATAAACATACCACAACGTCAGAAGGTTTATCTGGTTTTGTAATTTTTAGTGTCCCTGAGAAGTTGCAAATTGACAAAGAGATCAACCCTTCTAGAATTCAATAAATATGTCGACTGTTTTGTGCAAGATGTTTCATCTTACCTTAAAATCTTTCCCCCACGCTTTCAATTCTCTTGAGAAGCTGATCAAAATGTGGCCCCCAATACAGAACTCCCTCGAACAAATTGTAGTTGGCAAACTACAAATTGAGGTTTACATTAAATGTGGTTTTTTAAAGCAAAACATAAATAGGTGTTCAAAGTCTTCAAGCACCAGGTATCCGTTGACATGCATTATCATAAGTAAGTTACATGTTTTCAGTTTTCGAAAATTGTTAAGACCAAGTAAAATCCTGTAATGGGATTTTTGTTTGTTTGTTTGTTTTTTTTTTTTTTTGAAATCATTCAATGAGGGTTCAATATAAACTCCAGTAACACATTCTTTAAAAAGGTGGAAATACCGAAAAGAAATGTTCAAGTTCGCATGTTAAGGAAAAATAAAAACTCCACCTTAGATGAGAGTTTATACTTGTGCCACCTATAGCCATCTCTTGATATTCCCACATCACCAGCCGTGTGGACAATAAATTTGTCTTTCTACAAGCTTTCAATGGAAATCCAGAATAGTTTCAGCCAATTTTCTTCAACCTAGAAATAAACAGAAGTACATATTATCATCCTCCGAATTCATTATATTAGAAAAGGGCAATCTTTATCCATTATAATCCTCTGAATCATCACAATCATCATCAAATTTGGAAGCTCGGTTAATGTATGATTTGCTAATTCATCGGTTCGTGTTTGCCTCCACCGATGCTTCATATTCATCCATATATATGAAGCAAACGAATTGTGAGAGCACTCTAGACAAAGAGAAGTATGATCTCAGATAGAGAAAATCTGTTAATCCCAAATTAAGGATCTAAATCAAAACTGAATTAAGTATTTTTTTGACGTAATTCCTTTCTCAGAATAGATAAACATCAATTACTCATTTTTTTCCCAAATCAAACAATGCTTAAATTTACCTTGAATATGAGGATCTCATTGACAGAACTCTCTGTCAATCAACTCTTTATCCATCACCATAAAAGTTTGCCCTGCTGAAATTCAACTAAGAAAGAAAAACTCCAATTTTCAAGAACACCTTAGTTATGAAAACCCATAAAATGTATCAAAAAGTCCTTAAAAAAAAGAGAAAAAGAACCAAAACAAAAATCCTAAATCACATAGAATCTTTTGAATGACTCCAATGACACATAGAATCTCATATTGTACTAAATAACAATGACTACCATCGAGCCTTTTCTTGTACTAAAAGATATGTATTACCTCATCCAAGAGTTCAGGCCAGCACTTTCTCACCTTAAATTTAAGCAACCAGAAACAAATTAATTTTTTTTAAAAAAAAATCAGCAGAAGATACACAAAGGCAATGGAACCATATGTTAAATTTGCCCCAAATATGAAGATGGACTTACAGTATCCAAGTCAACTGGGACTCGGCCATATCCATTTCTCCCTCATTGTTCGGTTTGCTCCGGATTCTTCACCTCCTACGAGGTTTCCTCCTGATTCTGCTTCGTATTGTTGATGTCCAAAGGCTACTTACCCATAGATTTCTTAGTCTTCTTCGCCGCTTTCTTCTTCTTCTTCTTCTTCTTCTTCTTCTTCTTCTTCCCTTTCCCTTTCATTTTCAGCATTAGCATAGCACTAGGGCAGGCTAACGACCGGTGGAAAAGAGAAAAGTACAACTGAGAATTGCATCAAAATATCATAATTAATGGGTGCATCGGTGCATGGCTTGCACTTTGCATCATGGGATTTCAAAATTAATTTGTTCCAAAAAACAAATCTACAAAATCAAACTTTTAGAAACGGTTTCAAACCTTCGCCGGAGTTTTTGAACCATGTCTGTTTATGATGCATAACAAAAGAGGTGGAGAACAGATCAGAGAGGAGAGCAAAACGGAGGAGAGCCTTTGAAATATTCAATTTGGAACTGGGCGGTCATCAACATGCTCATCAAATCTAGAACTGGGCGGACGAACTTTGGGATCTCACTAAATTTAGAATCGGTTAGATATGAAAAATAACACCAAATAAATTTGGTTTTGGAACTTGGAATTGAAACAGGCACGACGGCTGAAGTTTAGACTGAAGAAGATGAAAAGAAAATTTTCAAAAAAAATGAAAGATTGCGGAATTAGGGGATTCTGTTCTCCCGTGATTATCTTTGTAATTAAACGGGTTGTAATGTAATTAAATGCACACGCTAATCTGTTCTCACTGAATTTGAAATTGTAATTTAGGATTGAAGGAGAAGTGTTGTCAGGTTTGAAGTGGCTGATTTGAAGGGATTTTTTTTTCCCTGAAATTGGGGACGCATTAATCTGATTTGAGGGGATTCTTTCTTTCATTCATTTATCGTAATTTTTGGACTCATTAAGCCATCCTTTTTTCATTCATTTATCGTAATTTTTGGACTCCTTAAGCTATGTGTCAATTTTCATTTTGTACTGAAAAAGGACTTTGGAGGGAAAATTTTCAACGTGTAGTTGACATGTGTCCTTGTATGTTGCTTTAGTTAAGTACAATAGATTCTTTGAATTACTGAGTATATATCATTCCTTTAAAACTTGCTATTTGTTCAAAGAAACTTTCAACACTGACTAGAAACATATTTTTGTATAACTAATTAATCTATTTCATAATCATTTTATTATTGGCTATTCCTTCAAATTTACTGCAATACGCGATAGAGTGCGATCGTTGGCCTACGACGCTTGGATGGACAGCACGCTGCACGCGCAATAATTGATGAGCTAGTTAATTACTAGTTAATTGCGATCGGTTGGTGCTAGCTAGTTAATTACTTTAGTAGTAATTTAAATAATAATAACTATTATATGTAAATTTTATTTATATGCCTTAAACTTAGTTTGATTCTAATTTTTTCTCGTCCAACATTGTAATATTAGTTTTCTTATCAACCACAACCCACATGATTTTGTTACACAATACTACATCCGGTCCTTAATATAAGATATTTTGATTTGTCTTAGATTTCACCTAATACGTATTTATAATTGACGAAAAAACTTTAAAAATCAATTTTCACATTCGTTATATTCTCTTGATTGTTATAAAAATATTTTAAAGATTTTTTACCAATTAAAAATATGTACTAGGTTAAACTTAGGACAAATCAAAATACCTTATATTAAGGACCGGAGGAAGTATCGTCTCATAAATTTGATTTGGTTCTAATTTTATTTTTATTTTGTACATTAGTTGCCCTCTAAATTCTTGACTGCAAAAGAAACATTATTGAACAAAAATATATTTATATCTTTTCAACTGACCTAAAAAGGGTAAAAAGAAAAAAAAAAGAAAAAGAAAAAGAAGAGAAAAAGATTAAATGTTGGTCCATATTATTTTTGGAAAATGATACTCTCAACGAAGATTTTTTAACGAAGTTTCACGAAATCCGACGTGGCATGCTTCAGTGGCGGCCCACACTTCATTTGTCAGTTTCACACTCATCTTTTTTTTTTTTTTTTCTCCTTTTTGAATTTTTTCTAATTTTAATTAATTTTGTCAACCTTATCTCACAGTCTGCTTCCTCGCCCCTTATTCCTTTCTCCTTCACATCCCTCCCTAAATCCTAATCTTGTGAAAACAGAGAGTCGGAAATCTTCCAAATGTTACTTCACTTTTGGTTCTTGTCCAACAATTTGGGCAAAAAGAGAAATGGGAAGAGAGAGAGAGAAAATTTTTATTTAAAAAAAAAAATTAATAAGAGAGAGAAAATAGGAAAGCAAGAAACGTGGGTAGCCAGCTCAACTTGACACGTCTGCTTCGTGAAAAGTCGTTAAATGAAATTCGTTGAGAGTATCATTACTCACATTATTTTTAGCGGCCTTCCTTGTTGCACAACTTCTATCTTTTCATCTTCACCCATCATCCACCTTCAATCCTCCCTCGTCTCTTTCTTCCTCATTTTCAATAAACTGAAACGCACTTTCTCAACTTCAATTGATAACAACAAGAGATTAGAAAGGGAACAGAACCATTAGAATTCTTAGGAAAGAAAGAAATATTTCTCAATAGCTTAGACATTGAAAAGGGCTACGAAGCTAGTTGGTGAGTGTTCTTACTGTTTTCATTGCAAACATGTTCTTGGTACTTAGTGTTTCTGTATTTCTTTATGTATTGTGCAAATTGTGTTGCATGTAGAGGTTATGTTCACCTTTAAAACTCTGTATTGCAGTTGGAAATCTGTGCTTAAAAACTGAACTAGAATGGTTGAATCCCTTTTTGGAGTGGTTTTAATGCTACAACTGGAAAATGTCTTTTACTGAGTTATGGAAGCTCATCAAATGCATAAGTATTCCCTGAACTCCCGTTGTTTGAAGTTTATCTTGAAAGGTCTGTTCCAATCTTGTTTTGGGTTCTCAAAAAGTGGTTGTACTGAAACATGCTGATGCTTAAGAAACTTTTGTAATGAACCTAGATTATATTTCTAAAGTATTCATAGTCTTGAACTATATGTACCTTTTTGAAATGGTGATTTCTCTGGAAATTCCACTTCCCATCTTGTTTTGGAAAAGTGATCAATTTCAAAAGGACCCCTTGATTACGTGCTCACTGCTCAAGCCTCGCGCTTGAGCAACTCAATTGAATATTCGTACTGAAATCGTGAAAGCCCTCAATGTTTTGGGCCTGAAGCAGGCCATTGTGCTTTGTTTTCACGATTTCTGGTCAAATGCTATAGAAAAGTTTAAAAAAGTGTTTCATCCTTCAAAATGTTTGACTGGCTTATGGAAATTGGCTTCCAGCATTGGTGTTTTGAACTCGCTAAGTGTTTTGAGCTTCTCTACTTACAGTTTAAATTACTCGGACTAAAAAGCTCTTCTTCTTGAAATGATAGTTTCATAGACTTCTTATTGTTGACCTGCAACGATACTTTGAAAATGATTTATAAAATCTTTAACACTCACTGGCTATGGACAATATAGCTCACTTGTTTATTATTTTGAAAACTATTTTACAGGTTTAGCGAGGAGTTAGTGATTAGGAGATCATATCATCTAATGGTTAGTTGGAGCTCGAGCTCGACCTGAGTGGTAGTTTAGTTAGAAATGTGTAATAGTTAAATCATTGATGTACAGTTTAAGGTTACAGTTGTATTTATAGCCACATCGATAACGATTATGACTTAATAATCGCTATCTACTTATCAAATAATTAAGTCATTATTGTGATTTTTGAGTTGTGGAGTTCAGTTAGGAATTATAATGTATTTATAGTGCTTGTGTCCTGGCTAGAGCTAGGCTAACAACTGGTCAGACCTTCCTTTCTTGTATTTAAAAGAGGGGGTTTGGCCGGGTCGTGACAAAGCAACCTGATGCTTGTACACTTGAAGCCTTATCTGAGTCAGAATCTACTTGGCAGATTTTTATATCATTCAAAGAATTGTCAAGTTCCATGTACGTTGGCTTGGAAACCTCCAGGATTGCTTTCTTTCGGTGAAACCCTTTATTTTTCTGGAGTTAGAGAGCTGCACTCCCAAATGATTTTCAGGCATCAAGGTACCTCCATATTGTGTATTTTGTTTTTAATTTTTCCTTTTCTTTTGTCAACTTTCCTTTGTTCAGTTCAAATTTCCTCTCAGAAGCAGCTTTCCTTCTTGGTTACTTACATTTTTAACTAATTGAATTTATGCAAATTCAATTGTTAAAATGTAATCCTTTTTTTTTAAGTTTTTAATTATCACTTGTTATTTATAGATGTCATTAACCTCTGCTATTGTTGGGGTTTCTGTTTTAGGCTTTAGCATTAGCCAGGCGTCAACTCAAACAGTGGAAATGGAGGAGAACAATATGATGACTGAGGAAGAGACTGTTCAATTAACGACTACACCTACGTCATATGAGTCTGCAATGGATGCACTTTCTTCTCTAATCACTCGCCAAAAGCGTGGTGATCCATCAAAGATAGCTGGTACATATTCGAAATTGGACAGAATGTCAATGTATACCCAGGTAAACAGGTATTACTTGTATGATGTGATTTGTTTGCAGAGTGTAAATTTGTGGTGTTTCTGCAGTTCACTTAGATGTCCTAGTAATGATTGATGCAAAGGAACACTAGATTGTAGAAGAGACTAATTGTGTTTTTCATGCTATGTTGAAAGTATTTTGAGAATTTTCAACGCTTTGCTTTATCTTAGCAATTGTATCCTGTAAAAAGGTACACAAGGGTAAAACAGCTCCTGTCTTATGTAAAGTGATGTCAGTGCAAAACTAATATCAGTTGTTTGTTTAGCTGTAAGGAACTATTTCCTACAATTGGACTTGCTTTATTTGGGGAAGGCTGTGGCATACTTAACGATGCTTCTTTTCTACTGTTTGTCTTTGTTTTACTGTTTATTTGAGAGCTTCAAGGCTGAATTGGTTAATAGCTGGAATATTTTAACCAGATAGGACCTGCAAATTTGACGATAGGAGACATGGGATGCTCATAATCATTGTAGTTTTTTAACACAAGGAAAATTGATTAATGCTTCAGTGTTGATCATAATAGGTCATTTTTTCTGCTCGTGGTAGGTAGTTGTTGAACTCTTAGTTCTAAACAGATTTAGTCCAAATTTCATTGTCAGATTCTTTTTGTTAGAGGAGCGTAATGGTTAATTCGTTGTTTTACTTTTCAATTTGAAAGTTTTCAATTTAGCGGTTTTAAAATTTATTCACAGTGATGGGTTTTCATAAGCTAGCATTTCAAGGAAGTGTTACTTTCTCTTTGCAGATTTTAGGCTTGGAAAAACATCTTGCTGGTCTCAAAATCATCCATGTTGCTGGAACTAAAGGAAAGGTAATTACATTTATGTGTGAAGTCCAAGAACAGTTTACAATTCGTGGGGTCATACATGTGCTTATCCATCTACCTTGATTGAAAGTTCAAAGGTGTTGTATGATCATCTGAAAAAGCAAACATGAAAAGGAAAGGGAATAAAACACTGTGCTTACCAGAAGTGTTACAGAAATTAGTTTCGTGTACATTGTCTCGTAACCATTTGGAACTCAATCTATTGGACAACCTACTTTGGTCCATTCTTTCAGAACCTAAGCTTGGATTATTCGTAACTATAGTCTGCAAGGTATGGACTCCTAAAGACATGATTGGACAAAATTACGGTTAACCGCATCATAATGATTGGAAATTTCAATCAACAGGCTTAGGTCACTGATTAAGATCCCGCGTTTCTTGATTTGAGTTATTCACTGTCATGACGATTTGACTTGGATGCTAGGACCTTACTTTTACTTTGATGCCAGCTCTAATGTGCTTGCATTAATAAATGTATCCCCAAATATGTTGTTAAAGTTCCTTGTATCTGAACCTTTCTTTTTTATATTGCATCATATGTCTTGATATATTTAAAAATCTGCTTCAGACTCTCATACTATTAGCTCATTTGTATAATATAATTTACTTTGGAAGAAGTTACATTTCTTATGTCTTCACACTCAGTTACCAACAAATTCAGCTGTACTGTGCCATGCCAATTTTCTTGATTTGTCATTACCTTCTGCTTGAGAGATTTTTTTTTTTTAAACTAAACCTTTCCAATTCCTTATTGTAATTTCCTATCATGAAACTCATTCTCAGGGTTCAACATGCGCCTTTTGTGAGGCCATAATGCGGGAGTGTGGTTTCAGAACTGGGCTGTTTACTTCTCCTCATTTGATAGATGTTAGAGAGAGATTTCGTATCAATGGGTGAATTACTCGACGTTTAAACTTTGCTTGAATCTTTACGTCGTTCTTAATCATATTTTGACAGAGTTGCTAGAAACATCCTAGTGTCGTTCTTGTAGTATACTACTTGAGGTAATGAATTATTAATCTTTCACTGAGAAAATGTTGTATCATGTAAATAAAAGAACATTCTACTGAAAGAGAGTAAGTTCTCTTTAAACAGAACTACTGTTGGTGGAATCTGTATGGTGCGCTGTTCTTATTTATCTCTAAACTGGATATGCAGGTTTGACATAACAGAGGATAAGTTCTTGCTATACTTTTGGGATTGTTGGAACCAGCTAAAGGTAACTTGATGTGTTGTTCACAACTGACTTCTTTCTTTCTTCATTTTAGCCTAGATTCCTTTGAATGCAGGACTTTATTTTCTTAGTCCAGCACCTCTTATAGAATTATAAGCTAATGCTCTACAGTCATTTAACCGACTGGCCATTTTGGAACTCAAATATGTAGAAGCTTATGGGCACCAGGCTGACACATATATATGTTTAGCGATCTTTTTAATGATTGAATATCATGGATGTATAACTGATGAAAATAGATGTGAGAACACAATGAGAGTTTGAATGTTTGAGAGACTTGAACATGGATGACTTTAGTTCTTCATACACTGTCGGAAGTAGCAATGACTATTTTGAAAGGGAATACAGTCTTTCATGTTTCTATCATTGTTTGGTCCCTGTTTATGAGTACCGTATCTCACCGATGTTAGGTATAGTGTACTTCCTAAAGTATCCAAGTTGGAGACCAATTTTATGGACTATCTCCATCCCTTACAATTTGAGGTTTTCACTTGATTGCAGAAGAATGTTACAGATGACTTGCCCATGCCTCCACTCTTCCAGTTCCTTACAGTTCTGGCATTCAAAATTTTTGTAGAAGAAAAGGTGGGGTACTTTTTTTTTTAATTACTCCTCCTTACCCTATGAATGCACATTTCAGTTGTTGCATTAAAGAAATGTAGCTAGCTGTTAGTCTCTTTACTTTTGAGCAGGTTTCAGTTATTTTCTCTTTCTGTTTTCCAGGTAGATGTTGCTATAATTGAAGTTGGTCTTGGAGGGACAAATGACTCAACAAATGTGGTAAGGCATTTCTCATGGCCTCAGTTCCGTCTGAAATTTCGTATCGCTTGATTATGGACCCTTCCACATAATTTCTGGAATAACCCAGATAGGAAATGTTCTCGAAGCTGCAAATGTCTATCATTGTTTGCTGTTACCATTTATGTACATATATATCAAACGCAAAAGTATAACCCATCAAGCATTATGCAGATCAAGGATCCTGTTGTTTGTGGCATTGCTTCTCTTGGTATGGATCACATGGAATCATTAGGTATGTCCATTTCATCCTGATGCTTTCTGTTTTTACTTTTCCTGTTTTATTCCAGTTTGTAGGCCTTTTTCAGACCTCTGATATAGTATGAATTATTGCTTTTGGTGTTTTTTTTTGGTTTGATAACCATTTTACCTATTGGTCCTTTAATGCACACCACTTCTAAATCGTTTCTACTCATTCTTTCCTGGTTGTGGTGATTAATGTGGTTAATCTTGATGCTGAACTTTTCATTGTTTATTGAAATGCATGCAGGACATACGCTTGGAGAAATAGCTACTCATAAAGCTGGAATTCTCAAGGTAAAAAATCTTGGAATCAGTCTAGTGTTGCAATATTTGATTTTTATGGAGAAAGCTCTATTCATACTTGAATTGGCAGTTTTCTCTCTCTCTCTCCCCCTCTCTGCGCATAAATTTTCTAAGTCGGGTTTGATGTTTTACATGCTCATGAAGCCTCAAGTCCCTGCATTCTCTGTATCACAACTCTCCGAGGCAATGGATGTTCTCCGCGAAAGGGCCAACAAACTGATGGTATTTCTGTTTATTTTCTTTCTCTTAATTGAAACCTAAAGTGATATTATGTAAATTATTCATTACTTTATTTGAGGGGGTAAGTTTCCTTAAATTCTTGCATTATCTTTCCAGCACAAATAGTCTATACTTTCTGCAATGCATTTTCAAATTGTTTCTCGCATCCAATATTATCCACAATAGTGTAGTATATTCGGAGAAGGAAGCATATCAAAGAACGATTCTAGAATAAGCACATCATCAGAAGGGTAAATGTATCAAAGAAGTGTCTTTACCCATTCCACATAGATCAGCATGCACATGTGATATCTGCATTCTTACACAGGATTTTAAACTGGGAAAGCAAGGGAAACTTTCCTTGATTTGTGCACATATTTCCAATCTGTTCTTAATGTAATTGAATTTTTGTGTGCTTTGCAGGTTCCTCTTGAAGTTGTTGAACCACTTGACCATGAAAAGATCAATGGGATAAAGCTGAGTTTGGCAGGTGATCACCAGTACACCAATGCTGCACTTGCAGTCTCTCTTTGTAAAAGTTGGCTTCAAACTACAGGAAACTTGGAAAAGCTTTTCCAACAAGTTAGTATGCATTCTCTGATTCATTAGTTATATTTTATATGTGCAAGCACACGAGCCTAAATGTCTGTGAGCTGATTACTGAACTCGGGAACAAATTTGGGTAGCTCATAATATAATCTGTCGCTTCGATTTTTGAAGAATAACCATTACTTCACAGTATTAAATTGAGGAAGAGGTTAATTCCACTTTTATTCTTGTGACAGTAATTTACTTGTTAAAGTAAGATTGACACTATCATGTTAATTTCATTCTAGACGTGCATTATTGCTTCTCTTTCGCAAAATGATGGGAAAAGCCCCAAGAACTTAATTCATTTCACATTTTATTGTGAAAGCACTAGAATGAGAATGCTTATAGTCTAAAGAGACCAGAAGTCTGAAAAGTGGTGAATTTCGTGGGTGTTTTGCTGGTGTTTTTTAAACCTACAGTATGACAAACCTAATCATTGTTTATTGGCGTTCATGTGCCCCATGCCTGGAGGAGAAGCTAAGAAATTTGGTTGCATGTAGAGTTTAGTTCACTGCTTGGCTTTTGAACTATGCTTTTTGGTTCCTTAATTTGTTGTCAATTTGGTAAACTTAGAAGGAAACCTTTCTCCTTTTGTTGCTGTTATTTCTAGTATAAATATTTTGTGGTTTTTTTTCTCTTGGTCACTAATAGTTTTTCAAATCAGGACAACCAAATAGATGGTTTACCAGAACCATTCCTAAAGGGTCTTTCAACTGCACGCCTCTCTGGAAGAGCGCAGGTGGTTTATGACTGTTCCAGCTCCTCTAATCTGTCCATGACCAATGGAGAGACTTCTGGAGATTTGATCTTCTATTTAGATGGAGCTCATAGTCCTGAGAGCATGGAAGCCTGCGGTAGATGGTTTTCCAGTGTTATAAAAGATGTCAAAGATCAATCATTTCCACATTCTTGCTCGGAGCCTGGAACTGGGAAACCAATATTGGAAAATGGTTTCAGGAATAATGGAAACCAACCGGCAGACAAGATATCAAAGCAGGTGAAATCACTCAACTTTTTTTCTTTTTCCATTTTACCGATGTTTCATTTCTAAACCTCATTTCTAACTTCAAGTGCAACAAAACTTTAATCAGTTTTTCATTTTTTCCTCCTTTTTCTTCCCATAACCTTGCAGATTCTTTTGTTCAACTGCATGGATGTGAGGGACCCACAAGTCCTCCTTCAGAAGCTTGAGTCTACCTGTGCACCCTCTGGTACTAGGCATATATTCTTCTATTTAGTTATCTCTTTCAGTGGTTCAGTAACTTCGACATAGCACCATCAGATTCTTATTCTTTTCAGTCCATGCTTAAGAACATTAAAGCTGACAAGCTGCTGAATTGAATGGCATCATATTGAAACTTAAAACTTGGATGTAAAAATTCTGGAACTATCAGTTTCAATGCTTACTGTTACAGTTGATATCATAATCAGTATCATACATATAAATGAAGTTTCTGTTTACTAGGTTTAGGTGCCCTGGTGCTCATAAATTTACTTCTCTATGGGCAAGATTCCCTTGAATCTCGTGCCCTTTACTTTAAGGCTTTTATTTGGTCATTTGCTTCCATATGATTGCAGAACCAATTTTATTAACAGTAGATACATATTAAATGGTTTATTTTCAGGCACCCACTTCTCAAAAGCCATTTTTGTTCCAAGCATCTCAACGTATAGCAAGGTTACATCGGGTGCTTCAGTCATTCCCTTCGATTCTCCTGCAAAGGACTTGACGTGGCAGTTCAAACTCCAAAGAACATGGGAAAGGATAATACATGGCAAAGGTAAAAAGAATTTCCATTTTAAAAGCATGTTGAGTTGTTTATCTTTTTGTGTTTAAGCCTTTCTGCTGGCTTGTGGAGAATGACAGCTGCTTCAAGCTCTCAAGCTTGTAAAAATAAGTACAGATAATAATTGTACACAATATAATTGATGTTTGCTTGAGTAGGCATTCTCAGCTCTCCTTCAAATAATCTCTAATGGATGACGAATCAGTCCCTCTAAGAATTAAATCTTGCTTTGAAGATGTGTACGCATATTATTGGAAACATATCATGGCTGCTCTTATGGGAGAAAGAACAGTTATAAACTGGACTCATAATGGGAACCGAGGGAGTACGTTTTATTTTCTTTTTTGATTGAAAATGGTGGTCATGTTAGGGCCTCAAGATAACAATCAGTTCATTGACATCTATTTAGCTTCCGACACAGATTTTCCTGAGAAGACTCTCAAGAATGAAATCCCCGAAGGTTTTCCTCATAGCAAGTTTCTTAATGAGGATGTCTCTCACTGCAACCCTGCAGAAGGATATTTTGCATGCAGTTCAGTAGTTTCATCGCTGCCACAGACTATCAATTGGTTAAGACATTGTGTTAAAGAAAACCCAAGTCTTAAACTTCAGGTATGTTGGCCATTAATCTGAAATTCTGAACCTTTGGCATTAGCTTTAAATTTACTAAAACAATTTCCTCAAATTTCATTTCAAACATACCGAGACATGATATCATATTGTTCTACATGGAATATCTTGTGATGACATGAATACTTCATGACTTTTCTCATCTGCAGTCACCAAGTATCTTTTATACCCATTTTTTTTTGGTTTGCGAAATGCTCAGGTTCTTGTTACCGGATCATTGCATTTGGTTGGGGATGTTCTAAAACTCATTCGGAGGTGATGGCGTATTTTCATTGGAGCCTTTGAAATTGGAAATCCAAGTTCTTTGACTCTACGATGATTCCAACAATTTGCATAATGACATTATCGTTTTTTTTGGGACAGAATCATGGAGACCTAAGCATTTCGATATAATGTTTGTAGGTTAAATTGGACAGTTGTGACTGTATTTTGAAGATTCTTTTCATAAATTTCTATTCATGACTACGAGGGTTCTGAAGGGCCTTCTGTTTGGGGGGAAGGTGGGGGTTGACAAATTGAGGGAGATGGTATCCTGTTGTAAGAGTGTGTTTAGGGTACTTAAATCATATAACTACATTTTTTTTTTATGTATACTATATGTTGGTGTAAAGGATTTTACACCACATTAGTTACCGATTCTTCAATAGATTAAACACGTCATGAAGTCTTAAGCCACATTTGTCACTATACATAATTGCTTTTTGTTTCATTTTGTTTACGGCAGTTAGCACTTAACAGTTTTGGCGATATTTAGTTTACATAACCATATCAAAAGAATATTTACATTCACAATATTCTGTACTTATATATATCAAACTATTTGTGACATAAACTAATGCATCATCGTCAATACCACGAATCAAGATTTTCTTACAAAGTACGTTATAAATATACAGTTTTCAAGAGTGTAAATTCACCTCTTCAGTTTCTGAAGCTAGATTTTCACATTTGTATTTATCCTGCAAAAAAGAAATGATCACAGAAATCAATTCACATTTGTCACACTAAATCTATAAATTACTTATATTTCTAGAGCAAATGATGATGTTGAGTAATAATGTTGAGTAATACTTTTACCAAAAAAAAAAAGAAGATAATGTTTAGTAATAATGAGAACTACTTAGTCTTCTTTGATTCAGGAGCTTAAAATTTTTCATAAATTTTTATTCTCAGACAATTGGAATGAATATAATGCTTCTGAAATAATTATGTAGTTGCACTAAAATTTGCAACAATTGGTGATAATTTTTTTTTTTTGGAATAAAATTGAAAAATGAGTAAACTAACTTAAACACATGCAGGCTTAAGATAACACATCTAGTGGTTTACGTGGGTAAACAATCCTTATAACATCATGATCAAGCAAACACATCAGTTTCCAGTGGAGGATCAATCAATCTATCAAATCCTAACAGAGTTTTTAAAGCTGACATGTTGCAAAGTGGCCTTATAAGATGTACACATGCCAATTCCTTGTAAGTAAATAGTCTGCTGTAAAGTTCGTCTTTTAATCATGTCAGAATGTGTTTAGTCTTGAGTAATTTACCATAGACTCCGAATTTCCGCAAATTACATTGAGCATCCGGTGCTACTTAAATGCTCGCTGAACGCGCCTGCTCAGTGCTCTTTTCTTCTTTTTTTTTTTATTTTATTTTTGTATCTTAATTTTTTTAACTTTATAAAATATTTTTTGAATGTAATTTCAACTACTTTTACACATGCAATTGATAGGTTAAAATTTAATGTGTGATATATCATGAATAATTTATAAATGTCATCATAAACATTATTTTCTCACTGTAAAAAGAAATTTTATACGTTCATACAAAATTTTAGTTCTCCTACTTTATAACGTTTTTACCATTTGTGACTTGTGAATCGAGAATTGGGTTTAAAGTTGGGCCTAAATTCTTTTATTAGGCAATGTGAATATCGATAAAATGGGGATTGATAGTTATCTTAATTGGCTTTAAATAAAAGTGTAAAAGATTTTTCCCTGTTTTCGTCCCTTCCAATTTTACTTTTTACGCTACCTTACCACTTATTCTTCTTCGTCTTATATATATATATTATACTATATATATATATATATATATACAAAAAACCTTCTGCCCCAGAATCTCATCATACTGAAATTCAATGGAAGATACGCATAGCAATCCCCCTAAAAATTCTGATCACGACGCCGACGGCGGCGGCGGCGGAAGTAGCTCCGACAATGTGGCGTGGAGCCCCGAATCCACGTGGATCATCGCTTCCGGGTCTCTGGAAAACTCCATCACCTTCGATTCGTACGAGGATGATGATTCTACTGGGGAGACTGATTGTCCTCCTCGGGATTACACCCCTCTTATACTGAAGCCACCGTCACCGGATTCTGGACCCTGCGAAATTAAGCGTGAGTGAATTTTCAGTTGCCATATTTTTTTCTTAGTTCTGGTATTTTGCTCCTGAAAATTAATTCGTAGGTTTAGTGTCTTAATGATGAATTGAATTGAAGTACAAGTGTTGAATTGGGTTTTGTTTTGTTTATGTCGAAATGTTGTAAGCGGTGAATTACTGTTTTTCGGTGCAGAAGCGTTGTATGCGATCATAATCACGTTGATCTTGTAAAGCTAATTTGTTTTACTTCCAGGATATTTCTTTGTTACATGTACAGTATAATTCTATTGGAGAAGGAGAAGTTGACGATGATAATTGTATGGGATATGCTTGGAATTTGAGTTAAGGTTTTGATGATCCTTATTTGCAGTTTTCAAATAGCGTGACTCGTCATAGCTTGCTCATTTTCCTAGCTTTTGGTGAATCAATTATCTTTGGGGATTTATGTTTTTCTGGTATCAAGATATTTGTGTGTTAAAGAATGCATTTAGAGAAATGATTTGCCAATTTAATAATCTAAACCTTGTTTGTTCGTTCTGTACTCAGAAACATGTGCTCTTATCAGCTTCTGCGTAGTCACCTACTTGATGGGAGAATGCTTGCACCTTCATGTTATGGATAACTTAGATGTGTTTCACAGCTATTCTGTTGAACTTTGATTCTACACTAGTTATTTTTTGATTGATATAATCTCATGTTACCTTTCAAAATTAATGAGATTCCAAGTCAGAAATCATAGTAAGGTTTTCGTCTTAACAATATGAAAGCTTGAAAATTATTAGCCATTAAATCGAAGTTGATTTTGTAACCCCCATTTTGTGATGCAGAGTGCATAGCCTAATAAAAAAGTGATGAAGACGGGTTTTTGTTCCGGAAAGTTGTTTTATGCTGTACTTTCAAAAGTAATGTGTCTTGTTCCAATCTCTGTTAATCGTTGGCGATATGTGTATTTGCAGTATGCTTCATGAATAGGTACAATATCCTGCAAATTTATGTTAGGAGCACGGCACGCACTTTTGAGATCTACCAATCAAAATCTCAACAATATGGTGAGGAGTACTTGTGCACAGCTCGCTGCTCTGTTGCTGTACGGGACGATGAAGTGCTTCAAGCAAAGTTTAGTGAGGAAAGTCTTAAGGATACTGCAATAAAACCAAGTGTAGATAAATCTGACGAGGAAGAAACCGATGCCGCTTCTGAAGATGACTGGGTAGATGTTAAAGTCCTCGACTCTCCTCTTACACAGGATGTGGTTCAGCAGGGTTTTGTGCAGGTATAGTGCTTTAATAACTATTTTATTTGTTACTCATTCCATTTTAGCCTTATTAGTACTGCTTGCTGGCATGGTTTAAAAGTACAAGAAGACTGTTTTATTTTCTCAATTTGTCAAATGTTCTTTCAATCATGTTTTTCCCGCTGTAGTTTTTTGTTAGTTGCTGGGAAGCGAGTATTTAAGAAGCAAGTAATTTACAGTTCCCACTGATTATTATAGTGTTTCTTTCATTGTACTGCTGATTGGCCAAATAAAAATTCGGTTAAACAAGAAAAATAAAATGGCGAAATTTGTTTTTCAAATGGTAAAACTTTTAAATAAATTTATGCTAAAATGGAAAGGGGAGAAAGATGATGGAGTAACCAAAAACTATGATTTTTATATGAAAACTCTGTAGTGGTGGGTTACTTTTACTTGAACTAGAAATTTGTCACCAAGTATGCTCTAAAATTAAGTTTCATTACTTGATGAGAGGTTAGACAATTCTCATTCTTTACTGGGAGTCTATTTTCATATGTGGCCAATGCAAGAGTATAAACATTGAACACCTGTGAAGTAAATGGGAATGTAACTGATATTATCTTTGCCTTGCTTCTCTGTTAGATCTTTGTATTCTGTCTTAACTACCATTTGATACTTTAATTGGCATTTGGAAGAACACAGGGGTTTATTTTTGGAGAAAATTTTGCTTATGTTATTTAATATGCTTTTTTTCATGATTGCAGTTACCCTGTGTTAACGGTGTCTAGATGACCTCTGTTTTTCAATACGTGTAGGATTATTATGAAGCTACAGTGGAAATCAGTGATTCGGATCCTTGCACATTAGTTACAATACGTTTTCTCTCTCTTCAGAGTAAAGATTTTGTATTCATTGATGAGATTTATGTTTTTGGTGAGCTGGTTGGTCCTATTCAATCTGGCAGCCAAGCACCTGATGTTACTAGCTCTGCTGCAAATCCCCTGATGACTATGCTTTTTCCGGCCATACTTCAACTCTCCAAGTCTAGAGCAAACAAACTTCAAGCTGATGAGGCCTCTGATAAAATGGTAAAGTCAATTGGAGTTGAAGACTTGTCCAATGCAACTGACGTCACTGATGTTGAGCCTCGAATTCCCGGAGAAGTGTCTGTTCCTGATCAGCAATTTTTGAAGTTGCAAGATTCTGAAATACTGGAAAGGGTAAATAATTTGGAAGTCTTGTCAGAGGTAACTGAAATTCCCCGGGATGAAAAATCAAATGCTGATCATCAATATGTAAAGTTTCAAGATCTTGACAAATGTACCGCTGACAGATGTGCCACTGAATCTGCTAATATCCAGATTCATGAACCCAATCTTGCTGGAAATAGCTCAAATGATCCTCGGGTGACCCGTGATTCTCCTTATCATCGTATAGATGAAGTTCTGGAGCAACTTGTGTCTCGAGTCAGCAGAATTGAAGAGGTTTGTTTAAGGTTTGAAGAAAACATGCTTAAGCCCATCAACAGGATGGAGATGAGGCTTCAACGGGTGGAGGAGCAGCTAGAGTCACTTGTTAAGCAATCTGATGCCTCTGGACTGCCAGCTGGTACACGGTTTTCTGCTCCTTCATTTTCTTGCAACTCTAATTCCAGCTCAATCCATAAAGATGGAAGCGATGGTCATTCTTTCAGTAGGAAATTGGCATTGGATAAGGGGGAATCCAGTTCTTGTGATTTATTGAACACTTGTGAAGGAGTGCCAGATTCTGAGGAGCCACCTCGTTTGTTTCCGAGTCTTGTGGTTACGGCCCCTGAATTTTCTTGCATCGAGGATGATCAAGATGCTGATGGGATAGAGACATTTAAACGGAACAATCAAGATGCTGATGCGACAGAGACATTTAAACGGAACAATCAAGATGCTGATGGGACAGAGCCATTTGAAGGGGAAAATCAAGATGTTGATGTGATAAAGCCATTTGAAGGGAACAATCATGTTGCTGATGTATCTAAGTCATTTACAGACTCTCCTAAGATAAAACCAAGGTCATGTTTGATTGATGATGTCTTAGCTGCAGCACTTTCAAACTTCTTACTTTCTTCTCGTGATAATCCTTCTGAGCACAAGCGGACATCTAGTAGTGATTATGGTGCCAGTGAAATAGTGGGGAATGAGATGTCTTTGCAAAATGCTGAGACACTTGAGTGCAGCATTCACAAAGTTACTTCCAGTGTAAGTGACCATGAAGACCCTCCAAAGTACACCCAGATTCTTACAGTTACTGCTCCTGAGTTCACTTCGGATGAAATTGATGGTGAAGAGGACTCAGATTCTGTCCACTTGCCTTCTGAAGAAGCTTCAAACCCTCCTTCCAGGACTGATGGAAGTTACTTGGTACCTCCATCTCTCTTTGAGAATGACTCAGTTGAAGTTTCCTCAGAGACGTCCCGTTGTGTGGAGAACAAATCAGCATTCGAACAATTTACAATCACGGGTGATATCTGCTCCTCAGAAACTGTTTCCTCAGAGACGTCCCGTTGTGTGGAGAACAAATCAGCATTCGACCAATTTACAATCACGGGTGATATCTGCTCCTCAGAAACTGTTGAAAACCAGTTCTTCGAAAAGTATTCCTTTCCCTGGTTGTTGGACGGAAGTTCCAGCTCTTCAATATATCAAACCCAAGATTCTGTAACGACTGATCTTTGCGAGGCTGTTAAGGTAGCTGACCAAAGGGACTCCACCACCATTCCTTTGTCACCTGGAAAGAGGGATTTCCTGGAGCAGAACTTATTTGAATCAGCCTCAGAAGAAAAAGACTTATTTGACAAGTTATTTGAATCAGGTATAGGAGATGCCAGATTTACTGGAGGAAATTCCAGTACCCAGACCTCTCTCGTGACTAGTCTGGATCGTCATCCGCCACCGTTACCGCTCAATTTTACTGCAAACTCTCCCAGGGAAAGTGGTGGTATTGACTTTAGTGCTGACGAGTACAAATTCATAGCATTCGAGGGTAATGATTTTATAGATCCTCAATCAAGTGAACGTCTTTTGCTGGAATTGGGCATCTATGACACTATGCCTAATTTTGAAGAGGAGAGCAGTGGCCTTGTTGGCAATCATAATACTACCTCCAACCAAGAGATGCTTGCCAGTCTCATATAAGGTCTCTTGCTTTTCCTTTTGAAATGATTGTATATAGGCAAACCTGAGAGCAGGCTCTTGGATGTACAGATTCTGTTTTTCGACTCTTTTTTCTCAATTCACTTTCCCTTTTAATGCATTGAAGTTATATTAAAATATCATGATTTTATTATCAGCAGGTTTACGCTAATCATCGCAGCTGGCCCCATAGAGAGTTTAAGAGATATTCACTACTTGAATTCTTGATGGTTTACAATAGAGGGGGTTTAAAGTGTCTCTTGCCTATCCAAATCCTTAAAATTCTAGCTATACAAGAGAGTAATAAACAATTCATAATCCAAACGAATACGTCCGATTCAAAAGAGTTATACAATTTTCTGAGGCACTCCGCATTATTTTACACGATTTTACGTAAATTTTCTTGTCAAGATATACAAGAATTTAAAAAATTACCAGAAATTCTAAAATCTTGCTTCAATCGGGTTTGAGTCATAACATCCAAATGGCAAAGAACCACCAAACTTTTATTTCGGCCTCATCATCTTCCCTCACTATTTTCAAAGAATTTAGTTCCAAGTTTGGTAATATTATTATTATTTTTTATTTGGGTGTTCAATCATTCTAAACTCTACATAACATTTTTGATCTCCTATACTAATAAGCCGATTTATTGTCCCTAAGTAAAACAACTAGTTGTTACCCCGCACTTTATGCGAGTATTTTTTTTCCTAAAATAAAAATTATATTATGTTAATTCACTGCAAATCGTCCAAAATTTTATAAATAAATAAGTAATTTTGATGGAAAGAACTAATCGAAAATTCAACATATTGTATACTTGCAATTAAAAAGAACCTCAAAATTAATAAAAGAAAACCTATGCTTGAATGAATTTACATGTGATCAAATGTATCATTGAAATACTTCTCAATTACTTGATTTATCCCATCTTGAATGATAAAGTGTCGCTAAAAACACTAACAATGTAAAATTGTTTTATGAAATTTGAAATTGATTTTTGGATTAAATTCTAGATTGTGATTATATTTTTGGAGATTTTGGGAACCATTTAGTTACGTTTTAAAATTTAATTAAAATTAAAGATTCTGTGGTTGAAGATTTTGGATTGGTACCAATTGATTAGGATTTAAATTTTAAATATAAATTAAAGATTTAGTGCAAGTGCAAAAATTAGAAGTTAGCAAATTTTATTCAAGTAATTGTAACAATAGTAATAAGTAACTAAGTTTTATTCAATAATACACCATTACCTGCCAACTGGGTCCCTGGTATCCGTAACTCGATTAATGCACTCTCTGTTACAACTACAGCCAATTTGACTGTGGATCACTTCATACATCCCTCTGGTCAATGAAAGGTTCGGGTCCTCAAGAATTTCTTTCCAGATCATGTCATCTCTCGCATCACAGAGATATCTTTGGACCATACAAAACTACACCAGAATGACAAATTGTGCTGGAATCATACGGATCATGGTCAATACATAGTTAAATCTGAATACCACTTAGTGCTCAATGCTTTGCTCCCTCAACCAGCACTAGATCCGTCGATTATCAATGCGGAACAATTGGCCTGGAAACGATTATGGAACTCCAAAGTTCAACCAAAAATTAAATTCCTATTTTGGAGGGCACTTCTTAATGCCTTCTCCTCTCGTGTGGAATTATGCAAGCGTGAAGTCCCAGTGGATGTTCTTTGTCCCCGTTGTGGCCAACAACAGGAAGACTGTTTACATCTTTTCTTCCAGTGTGAACCTTCACAGGCTCTATGGAAAATTTCCATTCCAGCATTTGCGTCCATCTTTACCCCCACATATCAGTCTTTACTCCAATGGTTTATTGCCTGGATCCAGACGCACCCCTCACAAGAAGATTTGGATCTCTTCCTAATAACCATTTGACGGATTTGGATTGAAAGAAATGATAAAATCTGGAGAAATCAAAGTCATGACCCGACGGTATCCTAGAGACTTATCCTCTCAGACTTTGACTTTCACAAACAGAGTCAATTTCGCTAGAGGTCTCAACGTTTGAATCTGCATCCCCAACAGGTTTGAGTTCCCAATCTATCACATGTGATAATTGATGGCTCATTTAGTCATACATCAAGGCGTGCTGCTGGGGCCTGGAAAATCCTTTCCCCGCATGGCATGGTTTTGCAAATCAAGAAGTGGACCTTAATGTACATTCTCCCTTTCAATCAGAGGCCGTGACGTGCTTGTTGGCCTTACAGGAAGGTAGCTCTCTGTGACTCACGAGAGTTTAAGTACACACGGATTGTGAAAATCTCACCTCAGACTTACAATCCATGTTACTACCGTCTGAAGCTCTCAAGACATAGTTACTCCCTTGTATCTACTATTTCCGGTTTTCAATCTTGTATACTGATTAAAGTGGATAGACAAGATGTATTAGAATTATATAATCTAGCATTCAATCAAATGCGATGTAATAGCGTAGGTACTTCTACTATATAATACACAGGTACCTCTTCCGAAAAAAAAAAAACTAGATTTTGGACCCGTGCATTCGCATGGGTTTGGGCTTTAGTCCCTAAATTGTTTTGAGTTATAAAAACGTTAATGTTCCTTTTTAAGAAGTAAATGAAGCATAAAGTAATAGATGATGCAAAAACAGATATATTCATTTTTATATGTTTAAAAAATTATACGACTATACTTATGCCTAATGGTGCACTGTTTTTGTTAAATATCTTTTTTTTTTTTTAATTCTTTTGGAGACAAATCATTTTTGTAGAATCTTTTAACTATAGGGACAAAGATTAGGCAAAAGAATCTTAGAACTTACCACTAATTATTGAACAACCGCATCACGCAAAATTTCCAAACATGCTGCTTAAGAAGATTTTAATCAGATATAAGATAAAAAGAAAATAAAATTAAATGGAACTATTCTCCTTGATACTGCTTGTTCTTGGAGTTTGCCAGTTCCAATCAATCGAAGAAGAAGACGGGACTAGCAAACCACAAACTATGTTTTACACCATGCATTTTGAAATTATTGTCTAGTTTGGAATTTCATTTTTGGTATAAATTAAAATAAAAGTGAATAACAATAGATTGAATTTGCTGGAATTTTGCAGAGTTTTCTACAATTTGATAATGATGAGGAGAGGGAGGTACTGTTTGAGAGATTTTTTGGGGGGTTTGGGAACTTAATTTATATAGTGAGAGTGAGTTTGACAAGGAGGTTATTTTCAGAGGTTTTTTTTTTCATTTTTTAAAATTTTATTTTAATTAGATGAAACGGTATCATAAGTTTTAATGAAAATATGGATGGAGCAACTTTAAGGTTTATAATAATTGGAATATTTGGGAAACGTGGATTATAAAAATGGTAATGATTCTCATTTTTCAAACGATAATACTTCCCTTTTTTATTTTTCTTTTTTCTTAGGGATTAAGGGTGGAGAATTTTAAGTAAAGAGTGGCACTTGAAATTTTAGGAGAAACATGAGTTTTGTTATAATTGGGAGGATGTTGTTTTCGTAGGTTTTTTTTTTTAATTTTATTGTAATTGGAGGAAATGGTATCATAAATTTTAATGAAAAATGGATGGAGCAACTTTAAGGTTTATAATAATTGGAATATTTGGAAAACATGGATTATAAAAAGGGGATAATGATTCTCATTTTTTTTTTTGAAAAAGATAATACTTCCGTTTTTTTTTTCTTGGAGATTAGGGTGGGAGAATTTTAAGCAAAGAGTGACACTTGGAATTTTAGGAGAATATGATTTTTGTTATAATGGGGGTTATATTTGGGAAACATGGATGATAAAAAGGGGATAATGATTCTCGTTTTTTTATTTTTTGAAAAAGATAATACTTCCATTTTTTTTTTGTTGAAGATTAGGGTGGGAGAATTTTAAGCAAAGAGTGACACTTTGAATTTTAGGAGTATGTTTTTTTTTTTATAATGGGGGTTATTATAGATAGATTATAGATTTTTTAATGATATTTTATATTTGATACATGTGTCTCTTAAAAATTTTTAATTGAGCTAGAACACTCAATTTGTCCTAAAATCCTCCTCTCTTAATATTTAAAGATTAAGAAATCAGTCAATAATTCATCTTCATTCTCTTAACATTATTATTATTACAAAAAAAGATTAGAAATCAGTTAATAATTCATCTTCATTCTCTTAAAATTATTATTATTACAAAAAAAAAAGAAATAAATTTCAATTTTAAGATTTTTTCTAGGTACAAATTTTAATTTTAAGTTAAATTCATAATAGGGGGGAAAAAAGTTCTATGCTGCTCATTATTGCAATCTCACATTAAAAATAGTTATAGTTTGTTTTTTTTGAGGCCGCATCTATTGGTGCTTTAGAGGTACCTAGGTTATTACAATAGGAGTAGAGCCTACTGGGTAAGGAGGTAGTACTATTAGGAGGAGATTCTACTCCCGTGCGCCTCTTGCTCGGACTGTCCGGTCTTCCGTGGCCGATGATTGCAGGCCTACTGCTTGCTTAAGCTGGCTGTTGGTCAGCTACCTGCTTCCTCCTTCAGCTGCCTGCTTCTCGCGTCCACGGTAGGAATCGAACCCTCAATCTCGCGGTTAAAGGTACAACGCCCTAACCACCAGGGCAAGACTCGATTCCTAAAAATGTCTAATTAAACATAAATAATTTTAACACAAATAAAATATGCATGATTTTATGGCTACATAAAAATGCATGTATGATTGAAAGGTATTAGTCTCGGCAGTATATGCGAAATCAACAAGAAACGAGCGGCAATTGCTATGGTCAGAAGTTAAACTTTTTGCTGATCAGATTGTGGATTGTCCGTGGATGATTGGAGGGGATTAAAATACGATCAGAAACTTGGAGGAGTACGAGGGTAACTCGCAACCAGATCGTGGCTCAATGTCTGATTTCAACCTCTGGATTAATAGTTGCGGGCTGATAGAACTCAATCCTTTAGGCAATCCTTTCACTTGGTCTGGAAATAGACAAAAAGGTCAAGTTCTAAA